TACAAAAATCCAAATACAATTCAATGTATTACAACCAAACACCAAATTACTAAAGAATTACTGAAAATACAATGAAAAAACACTAGTTGTGAAAGATAATGTACTTGCCTCTACTTCAAGCTTTAACAATCAACATGAACATGAGAAATCGGTGACCACTTGAGTCTCAATCCTTGATACACTGACTTAGGCGTATGAATACATTCCTAAAGAGTTTAATTTCCCCCACAATGGTGCTTGGGTTTGATCCGGAAATACTCTTTGAGATACAAAAGTCAGCCCAACGTTCTTTGCACTAAGAATCGATGAAAGATGATCAAAACACTAAGAAGGATTAATAGGAAGAGATTTCTCACAAAAGTTTGCAAGAAGTTTGTGAGGAATTGTGAAGAATACTTAGGGAGAGAAGAAGAATAATTCTGTTCATATCTCGAATCCAAAAAAAACAAGCCTTTTATTAAAGACTTAACCGTCAGAATTTCGCGAAAAACTGGCAGGCGCGGGCACGCCACCAGGAGGCGCGGGCGCGCCTCAGAGTGGAGCGGGCGCTCCTCTCCTGTACTTCCGAAATTCACTAAGGGAGGCAGAAGGGGGCGCGGTTTAGGCGCGACCCAAGCGCAGGCGCGCCACTTGGACGCGCGGGCGCGCCAAAGGACGCGCGGGCGCGCCAAAGGACGCGCGGGCGCGCCAAAGGACGCGCGGGCGCGCCAAAGGACGCGCGGGCGCGCCAAAGGACGCGCGGGCGCGCCAAAGGACGCGCGGGCGCGCCAACTTTCTCCTTCCAAACCTTCAGATTCCAGTGAGGTCCGCGGTTTAGGCGCGACCTCAGCGCGGCCGCGCTTACCCAGCGCGGGCGCTTCACATGGTTCGCGAGCGCGCAACCATCAACACTCTAAATCCTCCAACAAATACAACGAAAATAACCGTTGTATTAGGTCTAAAATGTAGTAGTGTGGGTGGGTTCGGTCAGGGTTAGGAGGATCTAGGCTAGGTGGGGTTAGGATTTGGGTGAATCTGGGCTAGGTGATACATGGGTCTGGGTTAGGAGGATCTAGGCTAGGTGATACGTGGGTCTGGGTTAGGAGGATCTGAGCTAGGTGGGTTAGGGTTTGGTGGTGGTCGTGGTGGGTTAGGGGGTGGGTTAAGGGTGTGGGGTGGGGTTACGGGGGTGGGGTGGGGTTACGGTTTTTTCTTAACTGTTTAACTAGTTTGCTTATGTCACTACTAGAAAAGAGGCCATTTCCGACGGCAAAATTTCGTCGGAAACACCCTAAATTCTGTCGGAAAACACTGTTCCGACGGAAATTCCGTCGGAACTGGTTGTCAGAACACCCTCTGTAGGTAAAATGGCCAATTCCGTCGGAACCAACTTTTCTGACGGAAATTCCGTCGGAACAGTTTTTTCTGACGGAATTTCCGACGGAATTTTTTTCGCCGGAAAAGGAATTCCGGTCACCGGAAAGTCCGTCGGAAATTTCCGACAGAATACAAATCCGCCGGAAACTTCCGACTGAAATTCCGTCGGAAACCGCATTAAAAAAAAAAAAAAAAAAAACCCGGCACCACCCCAACTACCCTACCCAGCCACCACCTCACTAGGCCAGCCACACCTGCACCCACACCACACCACTCACCAAACCAGCCCACAACACCCACACCACACCACCCACCAAACCAGCCCACACCACACCACACCACACAGTAAAACACCCACCAAACCAGCCCACAAAACCCACACCACACCACCCACCAAACCAGCCCACACCACAACCCACCACCCACCAAACCAGCCCACAGCAACCCACACCCACGCTCCTAACCCACGCCCACGCCCCTAATCCACTGCCGGCCCACCCCAACCACCACCCAGAACCCCCCCCCCCCCACCAATACCACCACCCAGAACCCACCCTCATCCTAACCCGAAAAACATAAAATCAACCCAAATTTGTAAAAAAAATCAACAAAATTCAACTCAAATTTGAAAAAAAAAATCAACAAAATAATCAACCAAAATTCGAACAAAAAAAAAATCAAACTAAATTTGTACAACACATCAACAACAAAACCAAACCAAATTCGTACATAAAATCAAACAAAAAAGTATTAATAACACAAAAACATACCTTAAAATCCAAATTGAATTCGAATTTGGTTTATTAAGGCAAAATTTAACCATGAAAAAGTCTAGATCTAGACTTTTTCATGGTCAAATTTGACCAAAAAACCCATTCATACCTTCGCCAAGACCACTCACCATCACACCATCCACCGGAAAACGCCGGAAAAGCCATAGGCGTATAGAGGAAGGAGAAAGAGAATAAAGGAGAAGAGAGAGAAAGGGGCGAGGAAGGAGAATGGCCGAGGAAGGAAAAAGAAAAGAGAAGGAAGGAGAGGAGAAAGAAAGGGGCGAGGAAGGAGAAAGAGAAGGAAGGAGAGGAGAAAGAAAGGGGTGAGGAAGGAGAAAGAGAAGGAAGGAGAAAGAGAAGGAAAAAGAGGCGTGGAGGAGAGGAGAGAGAAAACCAAAATGTTAGGGGGGAGGGGAAACCGGGTTTTGTAGGGTTTTTTAGGTTTGTTTTTTTAATTATTATTTAATTGAATTCCGACGGAAACATAATGTTAGGGGGAACGTAATTTTCCGACGGAATTTAATTCCGTAGGAAACATAATGTTCCGACGGATTTTATTTCCGTCGCAAGATTAAGTTTCCGATGGAAATTTCGTCAGAATACCCGTAAATTCCAACGGATTTGTATTCCGTAGAAATTTCGTCGGAAATTTCCGACAGATTTTAATTCCGTCGGAAATTTCCGACGGATTTCATGTCCGTCGTAAATTGACCTATTTCTAGTAGTGTGTGTACATTTTGATATTGATATTCCATGTCAATTTTTTTTGAGATTATTCTTTTTCAATTACTTTTAAATTCGTCTATTTAATTCATTTTGCCTTTGTAACCTTTGAGTTATCATTAATTCAGTAAATTTTTTGTGTTTTATAGGTGAAATTAAAATCCAACAAAGGAATTAGAAGAATCTAATGCTTTTTTTGTTTCGAGTAAACTGTAGTCTCTGTATTGGTTTTAAATAACTAGTTTTTGTTTATGTACTAATATTTTGTATAGTAAATTAATTCTATTAAGTACTCGTATCAGATTTTTTTTTTTCTAATTTAGCCTGTATTATTATTTATGTATTGGAGTTATTAAATATACAAGTATATTGTGGTATAACTATTAGCATATATGAAAGATGTATTTGATAGTTATATTGCAATATATATGAGTATTTTTTGTTTTAATTTACGAACAAATCATAGAGACCCCCTCTTAGAAAAGTGGTCCCTTAAGTACAATATAAGAAACCCCTTTTCTGAAAAAAGGGGTTCTTTTAATATTATGATTTAATAATTTCAAGAGCATTTAAGAAACCCCTTTTCTAAAAAAAAGGTGGTTATTTAATTGGATCAAACAAACCCCTTAAAAAAAGTGGTTTCTTAACGTAAGAGACCATTGAGCTTGAGACCCCCTCTAAAGTGGTTTCTTATGCCAATTTTAGGGGGTTTCTTTTCATGTTTTTGTAGTAGTGATATTATTCTCTCTTAATTTCTTCCCTAATCCTAACCTTTTAATATTTTGTTACCTTTCTTAATTATTAGTTGCTAATTACTAGTTTTGTAACAGTGTATATATTGGTCATATATGTCAATTAAAAAAAAAAAACAACTATCCCTTCTTCTCTATTCTTAATAATGAAGAAAAAATCGACTTTAAATTAGATTATCAGTGATTCATAAATGACTAATAATTTAGATTCTACTTCTATGTATTTAATCCCACTTTTTGTTTACATTTAATTTTTATAAATTACATTTATTTTCTATCATCATTCTAACTTAAGTATATACGAAGTATTAAGTTCGTAGCATAAAAAGAATACACATGTATTAGGGTTGGTGAGAGCATAGCGAAAGCAAAATTAAAAATGTAAAGATTGAGAATTGTGACTAAAAGAATAATAAAGGCAAGATAAGTAGTAAGGAAATGGACACACAATATTTAACGTGGGAAAAGTACAAGAATCCTTGAAGGGTGAGTAGTACAAGCAAACTCTCAATATAGGAACTCACGAAAGAGTATTAGTATAAAAAGGGAATAGTGGATTTGTTGAGAGAACGTGTTTTGTATACAAGGAGGGTAGAAAGGCTTATGGTATAAGTATGGCTTCTTATGTGTATGTTCCTTAATTGAATGCCTATGACCTATATTTATAGTTGAAGATGTAGTTTGAAAGAAATGGTCGGAAGATTCCAGAAATTTCTCCATCATTCTTGTAGTCATAATACTTTAGCACGTTCGCGAACCATGTATTTTCTTAGAGTGTTCAATTATATAATTCCATAGAAAATATGAGTAAGAACTAACCTTGCTTGATTTTTCCAAAAACTTTTAAAATGTGCACAAATATTCCATCAAAATAATGGGCTTATAAGTCTTTAAAAAAAAAAATTTAAAAAAAAAAAAAAAAAAAACTCTATAAAATTTAGACCACACCCAACAACATGATACGTGCCAAGTGAGAAGATAAGATTTTCATTTATGAAGTGATATAAAAAAAAAATTTAAAAATTTAAAAAAAAAAAAATCAAATCTAAGTAGGTTTAATTTTATCACATGATATCCAACTTTTTTTTTAAATTACATATAAAGAAAAGAAAGGTAATCTAATTAGTTTTTGTTAAGATTATTTTGTGTGTTTTGTTCTTTTTCTTTACTAGGGACTTAGTCCCTCTTTCGCACCCCAAAAAAAAAAAAAAAAAAAAAAAAAAAAAAAGAAGAAGAAGAAGAAGAAGAAGAAGGGTAATCTAATTAGTTTTTACACATAATCATTTGTCAACGGAAAATAAAATTGTTGAAATAATACTCCGTAATAAGTTTGTCAAACTTGACTTTTCAACTCATTCTTATTAGTTTCTTATATAGTTAGATAGATCTTGAATACTGTACTTAAGAACTGTCAAAGCCTTATCATATGGTCAACAATTCACACCATAATTTGAGTACAAGGACCACATACATACACTTGCTATCACAAAGTTATAAATACTTCCTACTATTGATCTCAAAACATTATCAAATATCAATGGCTTCTCTTAAGAGTTTGATCATTTCCTACATTACTTTACTTTCTCTTTTCCATTTCGAGTTCTCGAATGCTGATGTTAAGGGTGGCTATTGGTCTCCAGACAATGGTCTCGATGCCTCAGACATCGACTCAACTCTTTTCACCCATCTCTTTTGCGCATTTGCAAACCTTAACTTAGATACCTACCAGCTCACAATTCCTTCATCAGAATGCGAAACCTTCCCTCAAACCATCCGACAAAAGAACTCGGCGGTAATGGCCATCCTATCCATTGGTGGAGGAGACGCAAAGTCTTCCGATTTCAACAACATGGCTAGCCAGCCAAGCTCTCGAAAAGCCTTTATTGACTCCTCGATAAGCCTTGCTAAGGATAATGGTTACGACGGGCTTGACTTAGACTGGGAGCAACAGACTAATATTGATGAGATGAACAACATGGCAACCCTTCTAAATGAGTGGAGGGCCGCAATAAAGGCACAAGCTCCGAACTTGATCCTGACCGCAGCCCTTCGTTTCACACCTAATATTAGTGAAGGAGTTTCATTCCCTGCGGATGCTATATCCGCTAACCTAGACTGGGTGAACGTCATGGCTTACGACTTTTATGCACCTGGTTGGGTTCAGCCCCCGTATGTTACTGAACCTCATGCCGCGCTCTTTGATCCAACTGGCAACGATGTGAGCGGAAGTAGTGGGATTGCTGCTTGGATCAAGGCCGGTGTACCGGCTAATAAACTCGTGTTGGGTGTACCATTTTATGGTCACGCTTGGCAACTGGTTGACCCTAATAACAATGGTATTTTGGCACCAGCAACTAATTTTAATGATACTTTGGTTAAGGATGGTACACCTAGTTATACAGAAATCAAGGATTTTATTAGTCAAAATGATGCAACGGTTGAGTATGATTCGAGTTATGTTACTAATTATTGTTACTCCGGGACGACTTGGGTTGCTTTTGATGATACACAAGCCATTGCTACTAAGGTTGCTTATGCCAAGAGTAACGCGTTGAACGGGTATTTCGCTTGGCAAATTAACCAAGACCTTGATTGGGCTCTTTCTAAACAAGGTATGTTCAAATTAAACTTTCTAGTTTTATATTTAGTGTGTTTAATTGTCTAGTTAGGCTATGTTAAACCAATAACGACCGGAAGTTTATCTAATGGTAAAATTCAACATTACATGACTACTTAGTACAGCTAGCAATATTTAATGGATCTTGCTAACGAACATCCTCAAGGCGTTAGATAAGCATTTAAAACACTTTCCAAAATGGTATTAATTTGGGAGTGCATGCCAAAATCACGCGTTTATCGGTGTAATTAATATTCATTTAATTTGATAATTCTACTTTTAGTTATCTTATTCAATGCCCCAGTACATTTGTTAGCTTTTGTCATATCTAATTTTTATTAATAAAAAAAGACGAATAGATTGTGAGTTTGACTAGTTGACTGACTATAAGAGTTACTGATGTATAAAAATTATTGTTTACATTTCAGAATCCGTGACAAATTAACATATTTTCTTTGACAGGACAAATTAACACTTTAAACATTGTTATTGATGCTTAATTATGTTTTGATGCTTATATATTGATCAGATCAGAAGAGCTAATTAAAGTAATTAAATTTATTTGAATATTGCAGCTTCACAAACATGGGGATCTTAGTGCCATAGGCCCATAGCTAAAGGGGAACTAGCATGCATTGGAATGAAGTTCAAATAAAATGTGCTGAATATTATATTTTTATTTTTATTTTGATGGAATTATATTTTTATTTTTAAATTCAAATAAAATGTGATAATTTAAATAAAATAAAAGTTTTACGTTCACTTGTGTCCGCTGAATTCTTTTCATTCCGTTACACTTCTTCTTCCTACTTTGATTTTTTATTTATTTATTTTTTTTATATTTTTATTTTGTTTTTATGTTTATCTCACAAAAAGATTTCTAGATCGAAGAACAAAAAAAGGACAAGGGGGGAAAGTAATTTTGTGTAGTGTTTAATTTAATACTCAGATCCCTCTGTCTTTGTATAATACACGCTTGTATGATGGATTAAAAAAATTATGGTGGATTTAAATTGATTTAAGAAGGACAACAAAAAAGATAAAAATAGGTTGACTAAAGGTCAACTTGAAAAAAATATACTCCCTCCGTTTTATAATGTTAGTCCCATGTACTATTTTGAGCGTTTAAAAAAAATCTATCCATATTGAATGTGTTCAATTTTTAACTTAAATTTTTTTGGAATTAATTGGTTGTGGATTTATGACATGGCTATAATTAAGAAAATCTCTAACTTGAATTATGCATTATGACTTATGCTTTCCCAAAAAAAAGAAAAATTCAAAAACTTAAATAAGGTAAACTAATTATGTATTATTTTGTACTTTAATGTAGATTCCAAATATTCTTCTTTTCTTATTTTATGTGATTGATTCCATATGAGACTAACATTATGAAACGAAGGGAGTAATATTGTATCAAGAGGGGTACGGTTTAATGAATCCTTTACAAAATTTACAACAGTCTCCTAATAACATTGACAAAAGATGATTTTATTTGTTTATTATTTTGTGTGTTTAAAGATCCACAAGAGTGAAGATGAGAATCGATCTTATTCAGTTTCTCTGAAATTGAAAGAGAAGTTCTAACCAACTGAGGTATCTCTCAATCTCATAAAACATGGCCTTATAAATCATAAACATAACCAATTTTTTGCAAATTTTATTGAAGTAGTGAATGAAACAACGCATAAAAAGTATCACCAATTCCCTAATCCATATTAATACTTCAACGCTTTGCATTACAACTCCAACACCAAGAAATACAATCCAAAAGAATTTTAATTTGATCGGGTTCATAATATAGGATACAAGACGTGTCGGATCATCCACTTAACGTACGGGCTGGATTTAGTTTGAAACAAATCGTTAACGTGTCATAAAAACATAGCCTCAATCAGCCCACTCCTTAATAAATTAAAGGGTTGAACATCATAAATTGCTATGCGTGTTATGTAGTGTGCTACATTTTTGGACAATGAACATAAATTCCTTATCATACTCAAATACCAAGTCAAAATTTTAAGTTGATGGGTTATCTCTTGAGATCAATTTTTTCCCTCCACTTACATGTAACAAGACTATGCTCCCAGCTTCCTTACTCAATCTTCTAATCTACTTGGGATTATTTTTTACGCACGTCTTTCATCTTAGTTTTTTTTTGATCCAAGGGAGGAGTAAATCCAAAATAAAGAGAAAAAAAAAGACAAGGAAAACAAGGAAATACAGAAGGAAAAAAGAAGCAAGAAACCTAAAAGAACCTCATCAGGAGATGCAAGTCTGTGGCCTAGTTAGGCGAGGCCTAGCTACTCCTCTTGCATCCTCATCTAAGATTCTCCCTAACTCTAACGGAATGAAATTAACAATACAAAAGCTAGAGTCTTGCAAAACTCCACTGTTGGCCTACCAATCCGCAACCCTGTTTCCTTCTCTATAGATGTGAGCCACCTTAACCCAATTATCCTTTCGAAGCATGTGTATACATTCCTTAATCTCCTGTATGTTTTCTCCCCCACTAGCTTCGCCCTTCTGCAAAATTTGAACACAAGCCAAGTTGTCTAATTGCACTTCCAATTTTGCGATTTGTAAGCTCTGTGCAAGTTGTAAGCCTTTGACAAGTGCTAGAACCTCAGCACGCATAGATATACATCTACCAAAGTTTGCTGTGAAACCCGATACAAACCGACCCTCATGGTTGCGAATTACACCACCTCCACCTGCTAGCCCAGGATTTCCTTTGGCTGCCCCATCGCAGTTAAGCACATATTCATCCAAGGCAGGGGATGCCAAGAGATGTTTGATGTCACCTGACGTCTTTCATCTTAGTCATTGTTAGCCTTCCTCGACTTTAATTGAAATTCAACAAACTTTTCACTTTCCTTACCATCTTAGTCATTGTTAGCCTTCCTCGACTTTAATTGAAATTCAACAAACTTTTCACTTTCCTTACCAATACGTCTACTAGCTCTTTTTATTTTAACAATAATAATATTTATAAATCCGAATTTCTTCAAAGTATCTTTGTTTCGAAATATATACTTATAAGAGTTCATCCAAACGGCATACATCATATAAGAGTTCTAATAATATCTACAATTCTCATGCATTATCCTCTATTCCCCAAAAGAAAAAATGTTAAGTTAAGCAATGAGTTTCGCATAAAACAAATGGCATACATCATATTTCAAGTCATACATAGTTAGTTGCTTATATGAACTCATATACGCAAGTGGAAATGTCAAAGTCTTATCTCATGGTGTAGAATTTAACATAACAAAATTAAAAGAACGAGGACTAACTATTGTGAATTTGTGATTGTGACCCCTTGACGTTGTGCACATGCTTGCTATTAATAGGTAGGACTAATAATTAATGGTAATACTAATTTTGTTTCGAATAATACTCACAATAATTTAACTTTTGCACTATTCATATATATTAATTTTAACTAAGCTTCTTATTTTATAAACATATAAAATATACATTGTATAATATGTAAAATTAGTCTTAGTATATGAATTCAAAATTAAATTTTTATTAATATAATATTAAATATTTTTGTCATCATCTTGTACATTGATACATACGTCAGTCAAATTGTTGTAAGTTTTCGAAAACAGATGGATTATATGCTTAACAACTACTCTGATAGCTAGTGTTTGATTGCATATATATATATATATATATATATATATATATATATATATATATATATATATATATATATATATATATATATATATATATATATATATATATATATATATACTTCCTCCGGTTTTAGTTATTTGCAACAAAGGGGTATTATTTGTGAGACATAAAATACCCCTTTGTTGCAAATAACTAAAACCGGAGGAAGTATATATATATATCTTATCATCCCAATTCAACCCAACAAACCTTTTCTTACATTACAATGGCTTTCATAAACAACCATTCCTCTCTTAAGATTATAGTTTCCTTCATTGTTCTCCTTTCACTTCTCCATTTCCCATTTTCGAGTGCGGTTAAGGGTGGCTATTGGTTTCCCGATAGCGGCCTACCCGCCTCAAATATCGACTCCACACTATTCACCCATCTCTTTTGCGCCTTTGCCAACCTTAATACTCAAACCAACCAACTCTCAGTCCCACCAGAATGTTCCTCATCCTTCCCTCGAACCGTTCGACAAAGGAACCCGAACGTTAAAGTCCTCCTATCCATCGGTGGAGGGAGCTTACCATCATCAAATTTCAACAACATGGCTAGACAAGCAAGCTCCCGAAAGACCTTTATCGACTCCTCGATAAACCTAGCCTTATCCAATGGTTACGACGGCCTCGACTTGGACTGGGAGCACCAGTCCACAGTCGAAGAAATGAACAACTTAGGTACCCTCCTGAATGAATGGAGGGCCACGGTAAGAGCCAAGGCTCCGAATTTAATCCTAACCGCGGCCCTCCATTATTCGCCTAGACCTAACCCAGTAGCTACTTTCCCTACACAAGCCATAAACAACAACCTAGACTTTCTCAATGTCATGGCTTACGACTTCTATGCACCCGCTTGGTCCCCTCGGCCTTACCTCACTCGACCACATGCCTCGCTCCGTGACCCTACGAGCACTGTGAGCGGAAGCAGTGGGATTTCTGCTTGGATGCAAGCGGGCGTGCCCGCTAATAAACTAGTGCTTGGCGTACCCTTCTACGGGTACGCCTGGCAACTATCGAACCCTAACCAAAATGGTATTTTAGCACCATCTAATGGTGGAGATACCAGTGTTGGTCAGGGTACGCCTAGCTATAGGCAAATTAGGGACTTCATTTCGCAACGAGGTGCAACGGTTGTGTATAACTCTACGTACGTTACTAATTATTGTTACTCCGGGACGACTTGGATTGGTTATGATGATACACAAGCCATATCTACTAAGGTTACTTATGCTAGGAATACCGGCTTGCTCGGGTATTTCGCTTGGAGTCTCGGTCAAGACCAAAATTGGGCTCTTTCTAGACAAGGTATTTCAATTCAAGTTTTGACTTGTTACAATGGTTATTATAAGCATTAAATATATTTTTAATTTTTAATTTATCGATCAGTGTTATTAATGGTTGTTTAACGAATATTGTTGCAGCTTCACAAACATGGGGATCGGGAGCACGGGTAACGGACCCAGAACTAGAATGGAACGTACTGCATCCCTTCAGTATTTAATTTCCGCATCAATATTATTGTCTAAGAAAACAATACTCATCTTTTTTATGTATGATAGTATGCCTATTACGTACGGGTATGTATGTCTAATAAGTGTCGTCATAATTAAAAAGGTGTGTGAGAGATACTCACATGAGACACAAAATAAATGTAGCGTATCTACGTGTTTGAGTACTATGACGTGTTTTTATTGTACGATTTGCTGAAATAATGTGAGTAGTAATTAATTTACTAAAGGTGTTATGCAACTGTGTTTACTGACTCATTAAGAGTATGTTGGGTCCGCTATAAATTGAACTATATACTATCACCTCTTGTATCAAAGAGAGTGAGAGATAGGTCAAGTAATTAGAGCTTCTCCCTTCCGGTTTCAGGAAATCTTGAGATTGATTCTCACCTTCGTTCTTTGTGGCTCTCTGAACACCAAAAAAACCTCTCATTTCAAAAAAAATGTTTACACTTTTTTTTTTTTTCACAGAATGCAAAGCTTGGTTTTACGGCTTACAATGCTAGCCTAATGTGTTACAGAGTAATATTTTTAGGTTTATATGATTGGTGACAATCTTCGGCCAAAAAAGTTTAAAATA